CGTCTATTAAAGTGACACCAGTTGCCAGACGGTCGACCAGGAAGCGGAGGCTTTGGATCCACGCGGGGGATCTTTCTCGTCAAGGGCGAGCATTTTGATCGATACAGGCGATACGAGGAAAACGTCGAGCGGAGCTACGACGCAAAATGGGCGCGCAACGTGCACCCACGTAGGTACATAAATGTAACCATATATCGGCGCGCAGTGGAGTTAAGTCACTCGCCAGAATTAGAAACGTACCGGTCGAATGATGGACATTCGAATCCGGCATTACGATATACCGGGTCATGCAAAATCTACCTGCCTTCCTCCGCTCGAATTAAAAGACAAGTTTTGCAATCTCTTTAAGCATCTCTCGCGCATTATTCCCCTGTAGGGCATTACTGCTCTTTGCGATCTTTCTGAGAACTGAAATTTAAAACGGCGTTATCTCGACGAAAGATGAAAGCTCGTCGGATTGACCAATCTCGGGCGTTTCTCCTCAGTTGAAAACATCGCGACGTGATCTTTTTCGCTCGGAGTCGAACGAATTCGTTCGCTGAGCACAAGCTGCTTTTTTTTAAGATGCAGTCGATCGCTCCTTGCGCTCGTTTGTTTCGTTCCGCGTTTAATCCTAGCCCTCTTTTTCTCACTAATTCTCGCTCGAGTAATTAACGAGATACCTTCCACGCCGGCTCTCGACTCTCGTTTTAACGACGCCACTGTGCGCCTCAAGTGCCTTTCCCCCTCGTTCCTTTGTTCTCTTTTATTATCGAGCCATCGAAATCGTTTCGTACGATTACTCGTGTCTGCGCCTCGCTTCCGTCTACGTGGCTTACGTAACGCGCGTCATCCGCGTGCACTGCGTCGCTCTACTCGCTTTCCGATCTAATTCTGTCCGCGGCCTACGTTCTCCGTTAATTCCGCGGAGCTTATTCTACCGCCCAAGAATTATGACGTGCCGATTGGTTCCGCTCGGATATTCACTGCGTAAACCTAATCCACCGCATCTCTCGGGGCAAGGTTATCGCAACCAAATTCATCGATTCATGCATTTAATTTCAATGAAATAAATAAACTCAGTCTACTTGTTCTCATTAAGAATTTTTCCTTAAAAAAAATATGTTCGCCCGGCATGGATACATCGATCCAAGTATTTGACCGATAAGGCTCGCGGTTATCGATAGACTTGAAAGGCACCGACGCGTCTGACTGTAGAAAGGCCTGCAAGCTTGAAATAACCGACGATTCCGTATCGAGCCGAGGATTACCACTTAATGAAAGTTAATGAAGAGTAGCGAGGAGGAATAAGACGGTCGATCGAGTTGCACGTGGGTTACAGGGGCAACGACACGTCCGCCGTGACTCTGAGACAGGATGGGCAGGATGCATCGAATTTCAAGCAGTTAACACAAAGATCGGCACACTTTCCACCGCCGCAACCCTTCCCGTACGTCGACGACGGCAATCCCCGTCCGGCTTTCGGCATTGTCGTAACGTAGCTGACCCGTGAACCGATCCAGCCTACGGGTTATTCGAGGCTATCGAATTTCATTGTCACTGCACCCTCGAAAAGCGTTCGATCCACCGACAGGTGTGCCACGATTTAAGAACGATCCACCTCGGTTAACCCGCACACTCCCGATCATAAATACGATCGGAGAAATTAATAGATTATTTCATACGACGATTGATGCAATACCTGTTACCAATTGATGGAATTGTTATCTCTTATATGTCTGTATAAAATGTGCAATCTGTTCATCAGCCGGGAATCGAACGTTATCCTATTTACTGCATCGGGATGAACGATAGAATTCGTGATGGATGCGTTTTCGGTGGATAACGAGCAACTGGAAGGAAGAGAATTGGCCATATGGTCCATCAGGCGAGGATCCAAATAGAAACCGTTGCACCAGATTCATCGAGCCAACTGTTTGCATTCTATCGGTTTGATTCTGGCATTTAAAGCCAGATATGTACAGCGAGACCCAAAAATAAATACAGGACAAACTTGTCGATTCTGAGTCATGTCCATCCAACTCTTCCAACTGATCTTTCATCATATTTCATCTCAATTAAATAAATTCTGCAGTCTGGTCGAACATATTATATTGCAAGCTCTGTTAATCATGGGAATCATAGATTAGTTCTATCGAATTCGATACAATTTTTGTTCACATCCTGCTAATTAATTTCTTGATTTCTGCATTTTATACCAAATGCACGCATTAAAAGCGTTTCGTCGCTTCTGAGATTGACTGTACACGTTGCGAGCTACCCTTCGTGAACGACACGTCGACGGTAACTTGGTGCATTTCCCGTGATAGTGACCGTACCCGGATAGAGGAAGGAATGATCGTAGGGTGGTCGGCAGTCAGTTTCGCGTGCACGGTGAAGGCAAAGGCAAAGGCGAAGGAAAAAATCGATACGACGCCTGCGCCGAGGGGAACGTAACCCGCTAAAATCGGCGTCGCTCATCCTACTCGAGGGTAGGCTTCTCCCATCCTCCGTTATCGAGACGTAGTGCCTGCTCGGGCACATTTTATTGCTACGACTACCGAGGGAATCTGAAGAAATTACGACGGATGCCCTGTAGAACGTAGACAGGTTTGCCTAATATCGTCTAGACGGCCCCGTGACACACCAAACTTTAACCCACTCGCTCTCTCGAGCGGCTGACCCGGATATTTTGGCTCGGGATTGAATCACGGCTAAACATCCGTCCAAGATGTTTCGGTATCATATATGAGCGAGTAAATCTTATCGTACGGTCTAAACTAGACCTGCCAGTGTACAGACCTTCTCGGATTTGTCCTGATTTTTAAATCGCACAGCAGAGTTTATCCGAAAATTCTTACTTCATACGATTACGCTTTGTCGTTCTATTTTCGAGTTGAACGGAAGTAAAGGGTCGTGGTTTGAACGTTAATGGGAATAATCGCGACATTTCCCTGGTAGGAAAATGGCAAGAGGCGTCCTTGGAAAAATGTCAATTCGTATCCGCGAGAGCCACGGTGTATAATTTTATGTTTTATCGCCACCGCAAAGCCACATAATTAGGAGCGTAATGAAGTTCAGTAACGAACAGTTGTGAATACAAAGGTAAAATAACAGCGCGCGATCGGCTAACCGAGTATATTCCATACCTCGATTAAATCATAACCGACGCCTGTGTTTTAGCTGAAGCGTGATCTAAACGCGAGGGGGCGATTATTATTAAGCATGGCCCTTCCAGATGTGTAAACGAGTTAATGCGTCACAGTTTCATAGATAACATAATTTACACGTGATAGCGATTGATAGTTTCGAAGGATATCTGATAATATCGATCGAGGACTTATTTACTGTTCGTCTTGGACCGACTTCAATCTAAAGAGAATGCCCGAATGGCACTCGTTCGTTCGTTCACGCAACCTACCTCGAGTCTCTTCTTAGTTACTATTTATCAATCCTTCAATATCAATTCAATAATACTACATAGAACAGTCGTATCTGGAACGTGAGGATTACTATTGTGGCAAACGTGACATTGTAATAGGGCTTCGTGGTAAAAGAGGATTTCGAAGTTCGCTCTGCGACTGACTGTGCCTTCCTTAATTAAATACACGCTATGTTTTTTTTCAATATAAATGAGTCACATTAATTCGCGGACGGACCGCAAACGATGTTACGCAACGGGCTAATCAATTTTGTAAAGCTATTAGCAGCTGTTCTGTTGCGTGACACGAAAAGAGATGAGGATTCGCGACACAGAACGCGAAATCGCGTAACAGATTTAACTTATTATTGAGTGCACGGTCTGTAGAATAACCTGTTTGAAAACATGACTGTGTATTAGAAACGTCCCTGACTCGGGTGTAATTAACCTGATAATACCGTTTCTATCTCTGTGTGCTTCGACGGAAAGCTGGCTCCCCGAGTAAAAACAGTTTCCGCGGACCCAGTTTGCTTTTGCTTCATCATATTTTCATTACACGCGCTTCCGAGTCCCGTTTATTATCTTCTAACATCGTATATTTATTGTCGGTATTAAATCTGCCACGGTAAAAGTGAAGCAAAATTTTTCTTTCTAACAATAGTCGATCAAAGTTACGAAGAGAATGTACAAAAGTATGAAACTTTATCTTCCTTGTTACAGAGAATAAATAGACTGATGGAGTGAATTTGTGAGAAGTAAATTATTATGTACGTCTATCATTAAAATAAAAAGTTCGACGTTGGTTAATCTACGCGGCTAATAAGGTTAGTTATTGCCCGTTTCAGGACTCGTTACCCTTTCGTATTAATGTTCTTATGCAGTCGTACGAGCACGTTATGCAATATTAAAATGATACGACCGGTTGGATCGTGTTACACCGAGTAGCCCTAAGTAATACATATGCAACGCACTCGGTTTTATACGTGACTTGAGAAAACTCTTCGCACCGCTCTCGAGACGCAGTGTTTTATCAAGGAAAATGATCGAACTACAGAGAGTTTAAATCGTGAACGAGCACCATTGAGTCTCGTCCTTTGGTAATTACTGTCTACAGATAAAGAGGCCTTTTACGGAGAACCGTGTAAAGACAGCGTGTCATTCCTTTTGACAGCGCTCTCATCCACACAGAGAGTCACGTGCTGCATACGTTTATTGCGACACCTTTTATTCTCTGTTCCCTATCGATATTAAAGAGAAGACTGCTGACAAACCTCTATTCGAAAGTTAACGACGTTCGATTTCTACCTTCTTACGACGAACGTTTCACCTAATTTCAGATTCTCATGCAAATTCGTCGACGATAATAACGACGATATGAAAATACGTAGAAACCGATTAGTCGGTACATGCATGAATGTTAACAAGCGCAATATGGTGCCCAAATCATTTTCTACACAATTATTTGAACGCTGTCATTAGAGTGCACCGGGGTAGTTGCACGGTTGATTTAATTCAAGCTTGCCGAGGAAAAATTCTACCTAGCATCGAGACAATACGAAATAGTGGAAGCGTGATGAATCAGAAAATTTAGCACACTCACCAAGGGTAGTCGAAAGGGAATCGTCCTGGGAAACAGCTGATCCGGCTGGCTGTCCGTGGATGTCGCTTTCGTTCAAGTTTCTTAATCGCGATCGGCTAACCTCCAAGAGCTTGCAAGCTGCGCAATCGGGTCGCGACGGGGCGGGGACGCGTTTTGCTTATTAGAGTCCTGTCGCAGTTAACGCGGCGCGTAAAGATCACGAGGACCGCTGCTACGGACGAAGGGTAGCAGTTGCGTCATATATCGTTGCCAGGCGAACGGGACGTAACCCAATTCGCGACTGGCAGCCTCTGCTTCTGTCAATGCTTCCCGTCTCATCTCCCTACTCGATTTTCCCAATCGTTCACTCACGAATCCAGCAGCACAAGACACCGCGGCTCACTGTGCAACATTCACCAAACAGTAAACACACCGCGACCCGACGAATCTGAGAAATGAATCCGTCCTCTTCCCGTGGAGATCGTCGCGAGCCGATACCCCCCTACGCGGCACGGGGCACTGTCACTTACGCGTTACCCAGCCGCCAAGTCCGCTGTCTTGCTGTTCACTCGAAAGAAACAACCACCGAGCAAAGGGGACGACGCGACAAGAAAAAAAGCTACCGCAAGCGGCCCGACTCTGTCGAAACGAACAGACGAAGCGAGCCCCACACTCGCACCAGTGGAAATGATACTGCGGCTTCCTCAGACTTTATTCTGTATATACTGTACATAAGCGGTAACGCGCAGACGCGCGGGCTGATCGTACGTCTGCCCAAAACGATTCCCAGCCCACCTGGCATGCACACATGCACAAATTAAATGCACACGCACATCATATCACTATCAGGATTTGAAATCCGAAGCATTATCTCCGATTTGCAATGTCGTTGAACATCTCTCGTAATTTAATACCGTGCGATGCGAAATAAAAATACTTTCATTAATGGTATGGTTAATAAATTTGGAAAATTGATTTTTTTTACTACGACTCTATGAAGAAATGTTAGCGAATCTTATTTCAGTGGATGGATGTGAAAATAGGTATTTAGACGTCGTGTATCATCATACATTATTATATTAAAATATAAATGCCAACTTTTTAACAACTACACGATAATGTAGTACATAATATATTATTATATTACATATTCAGTTTCTTTCATCAATTATACAATTGTAAATTATACCAGGACGTAAGTCATGTGCTCGTTTTTTTACATTTTCACTTTCAAATGAGTGTTTACAAGGTTTGAAGGCTTTTACATTTAGAATCACCTAAAATTGTTGGAAAAATAATATAATTCCTCGATTCTCAGTTATTCTCATTGACAGAGGAAGTACAAAATACAAGTAATATATGAAACTTTACAATTGCAACCATATAAAAGCGTGTTACACGCTGGATCATCACACAAATATAGAAAACGAATAACTTCAGATATTTCACTGTTCGTCCTTGTCTTTAGCACCGTGCTTTAAAATTCGCGTGAATTCTATGTAATCGAACATCGAACCTTTGATGGGCGCTTCGCGATACATTTCGTCCACGTCATCGTCCGTAAATCTGGAAGCAAAACCAGTAGTTAATCTTTCTGTTTGATTCAACAGCAGTATATATAGTACACGAAATATACCTGTCCCCCATTGTTGTAAGCAATTCCCGAAGACGTTCCTCGTTTATATGCCCAGTATTCTCTTCGTCGAAGCACCCGAAGGCGTTTTTAATAACATCCTCCGGATCCGTGCCTTGAAGTCTTTCACCAAACAATGTTAGAAACATGGTGAAATTGATTGGTCCTGGAGCTTCGTTCATCATCGCTTCTAAATATTCGTCGGTCGGGTTTTTGCCTGAGAAAAGTCAAATGATCAGTGCTCGTGTTTCACTTCGAGCAATCTCGATTGGCGTGGCAAGCGTTCCCTCACCTAACGAGGCGAGCATGTCGTGAAGGTCTTCCTTATCAATGAAACCATCGTGATTCTGATCGATCATGTTGAAAGCTTCTTTAAATTCAGCGATTTGCGCTTGATCGAACATCGCGAAGACGTTTGACGTCGCGCGTTGCGCCCGCTTCTTCGTGGTTGCACGACGTCCGGCCGTTTTGCGCGAAGACATCTTTCTAAATATTGTACAAAAAGAATTTTCCGTAATTAATACCTGCGACCCATCGCCACGTATGCAACGGTGTTACAAGTGGGGTGGTGGTTATATAAATTTAGTTGAACTAGAATAGCGTCAGAAATAAAATAAATGTGCCTACATACCGACATCGATGTTATCGAACTAGTATTTATTCTTGGACAATTAATTTCGGAAGTCGCGACGTAATCCAAATCAGGATATAAATAAGATCGACGCGTTTCAATAAAGAGGACGTTGCACTTCTAATCTATATGCAGGGTAATCGACGTAAGAATATTCATTTTTCGAAATCGAAGATTCAATGTGAATCTTATAAAAAAAAAGAGTGGGTCAACCGAATAATTGCATTTCTGTCAGCATCAATCGTACCTCGATGCACAACGCATTCAATATCATTGTTTTTTTGTTTTACTTCTACGGTCGGTTAAAAATACGATCAAATTTCTATTTTATTGGTCTTTGTTTCAAAATTCTTGTGCAGCTAAATCCGTACAGGCTATATTTGACTTTCGGTAAACATTCATTGGAAATCATCGGGATCGACATAAAATTATTATATGCCAGCAGTAGTATATGTAAGCGATGAAAAATTCGAAAATAGAATTGTTTAAATCGCAGAAATTGATGAAAAAAGTATACACATCACTGGAGGCATAATAACAATGGCTGCTTTCACGAGTGAAGAAACTGCTGTCAAATATTTCCCATCGTTTAAACAATTTTGGGTACAAAAATCGATAAAAACCAAAGGCGACAGTATCGAAACTTTAATAGAAATAAACGAATTTTTACGAACCTGATTGATACTTGCTTCGAAGAGAGAAAAACGTAGGAGAAAAGAACGGCACAGACACTGGTGCACCACTGTGACTCACGTTGCGCGTCACTCTATGGTTATTCACCACACCCGGATAGGTAGCGACATCTGGCGATGGATCGTTTGTCGGACCTTTTCTAGACATACCCCAAAAATTAGGCCACCTCGTTGTGCCACATTGTGCCGGATAAAAAAAAGATTCGATCTCTAAAGTGATCTACTTCGTACGATGCTTCTTCCTTGGATCCTGCGACAACCGATATTTTATGTGTCGTTTATCTATGCATTCCCGCCAGGAATAGGACACGTTGCAGCGAAAAGGAGAACGGTTTCCCACAACGGTGTGTTTCCTGATCCATATTCGAGGTAGGTCACATGAAACTTTATTAACTTTTAACGATGGTCCGCGTGTCGAGAATACGCTGTCCCATATCATCTCACGTCGGCTTATTCCAAAAAGGATACGTCATTGCACGTACCGTAGTTGGGAATGCCGACAGAGAAATCATTGCCTTATATGGCAGTAAGGGAGCCCGATATAGTTGTCATACATTTCGTAATCGGGTTTACAGTCAATTCTTAACTCGAAATGTAAAATAAAACAAGAGCATTGGTTCGTTTATTTGCGCAACCAATGGACATATGATATAAATTCGTCGCTTGTCATTTACAAATATTAGGTCTAAATTAGGGAAAGACATTATGTACACAATAATACACGAAGAATTTTAAGTGCGAGCTAATCAAAGTATTCGTAATAGTTTCGTCGCGACTTTTCCTAGACGCTACTCCCTTTTACTTATTTACATAAATCGGCGATGCGCCAAATATAATAACGCAACCAGACCGCGGATTTTTATGCAAGATACATAAAACATTTAATATTCAAAATTTGGAATATGCACTCACGTGCACTTTATAATATATGTCGCTTTATGAATGCATAAAATCCGCAGTCTGAATATAAATAAAGATAACAAACTCTCGCGTGTCTCCTATCTGTACATAAATAATACCGGATTTGAAACAAACGTGATTCTAATCGTTGTACACATCGAACTATCGCACAGACACTCCGTTAATGGTGATTCCGTTTCTGTTCGAGACCGGCTCCGCTTCGTAGTGACCGGATCTACCGTAATGTCTTCTCATGTTGTTACCGTACCTTTAATATCGATGTAGAACAGAATTACGTCGTTGTAGCATAGATTTCAAAGGTTCCTTTGACTTACCCATAGGTACTGCCGCTTATAGTATAAGGATTGTCGTACAGACCGTCCTCCGGAACGTTTTCACACATAGCGTTAGTTGTCCCATCGTTCAGAGTCGCGTAAGACATAACAGCTGCGTTTTGGTCTTCCTTTCTTTCAGCCGCTTGAACGTTTTCAGTGTTCTTCACAGGCGTGGCTTTCCTCCTAGGAAAATATTTAGCTTCCAAATATCTTTTCGATAATTTTAACAAATCATACGTACAGTCTTAAGTAAACTAGCCCGATAATGATTAATATAAATATGATCACTCCTGCCCCGATGCCCACGCTGGTACCAACTCCTTGCGCTTCCGGTATTTCATTCGGCATAACTGTCAGATAAATGGGAATAAGTATACAAATTTGCTCGTCAATTGAAAAGTTCTTACAGTTATGTTTCCCCTTACATTCGCATTTGGGTTCTTCTCCGCTCCACGAGCCGGTGTCCAGACACTTTCTCAAAAACGGTCCCGCTCTTTCGAATTGCGGTAGACAGTGATATTCCGCGGTTCCACCGTAGGTAGTAGTTCCATTCACTACTATTACTCTCCCGTTCTCGATCGGTCCCGGATGTTTGCAATCGACCGCTGTGAAATTTTAATTCGCCGAGTCAGAATGAATTTCTAGTCGAATACGGAAGTTAGGACTTACAGAAACAAGCGGGTATACTTCCGCTCCAGGAACCGTTCTGTAAACATATTCTTGTCTCGTTCCCTTCCATGTAGTAACCACGTGGGCAGCTGTAGTGAGCCACGCCACCCACGCTGTGAGTCGAAACCTGTGTAGAGAGCACTCCTTCCTTTTCAGGGTCTTTGCACCGAATTTCTACAAACGATATAAATGAACGAAACAGGTTTCACGTATAATTAGCATACATGAATAATATTTTTATGACGACAGTTACCCTTGCAAACTGGAGTTTCGCTGCTCCAAGTACCATTTTCAAGACACAATCTTCTAGCGAATCCATCCAATTCAAAATTGCCATCGCATTCGTAGAGCGCGGCTGCTCCGTAATAACTCGCATTCGACGTCAAAGTGTATTTCCCGTGTTGAATATGTTCTGGCTTGCCGCAATCGACATCTGCAAAATACGTTCTCATTTTTTTTTTATGCAAAAATAAAGCACCGTTACTTTTTGTACCGAGCCACATATAAAAATCGCTTACAAACGCATCGTGGAACCTCTCCACTCCACTTGCCGTTGTCCTCGCAAGTGGACAAAGGTTCACCGACCACTTTGTACCCTCTCTCGCATCTGTATTTGGCGAGAGCGCCGATCTTGTAAGAAGTAGCGCCGGTATTCGAGTTCTCCGGTGTACCCGTGCGTATCAGAGTCCTGCCGTACATTCGATCGTTCCCAGTCACCGAGAGAATTCCGTGCTCCGCGTAAACCGGTTCCGGGCAACGAATCTCTGTGAAAAAAATCGTCGTTAAAATCTTAGAACCATTGTCTGTAGAGTTACGTACCTTCGCACTTCGGAGTCGCGTCGCTCCATTGACCATTGTCTAGGCAATATCTCCGCGACACTCCATTTAGCTTGTAGTTCCTCGCGCAACTGTAACTGATTTCACTTCCCAGATACGTCGTGTCGTTCACGTATTCCACCGCTCCGTTCAACACCGGCAGAACTTTCCCGCAGTCCACGTCTGCGAAATAACGAAATTAAACGCTTCCTTTCATAACTCTTGAGATGTACTGTAAAATGTTGTATGTTTCTACGCTCGAAGAACAGTTTTATTGGAGCATTATGTATGTACTATGAAAAAACTTACACTCGCAATTAGGCATTTCTCCTGACCATTCGCCATCCCTGCCGCAAGTGCGTCTAGCTTCGCCTTGAAGCAAATATCCAGCCTCGCAGTGATACTCGATGACACTGTGAATGTTCAAATCGTATCCAACGACGTAGCTTCCAGCCGGTACCTCGGGTTCGTCGCAAGTAATCACTAGAGTAATCAATAAAATAAAAAGCTTGCACCAATTCCAAGAACGAGAGAGAGAGAGAGAGAATGTAGATACTTGCATTCGCACGACGGTGTATCGTGGCTCCATTTCCCTTCTTTGGTGCATTCCTGTCTCGCTTCACCGGCCAGCCAGTAATCTTCCAGGCAGGTGTACACGGCCACACTTTTAACTGTCGTGGTGCCGTTGATCAGCGTCACGGAACCGAATTCGATTTGCGGTGGTGCCCCACAATCGACGAATCGACATTGGGGCGCCTTGCCGGACCACTCGCCGCCTACGTCGCACGTAAGAACCTTTCGAAATTGATAAAACGATATTTAATATTCCTCCGGCAATGCTTGTGCAAGCTTTTTATTAATAAAATTGCTGTAACGTGTCGTAAGACGTAATGGAATTTACGTTACGCTTCGAGCATTACAAATGAGGGAAAATGGGGTCCGACTAAATCATTTGCATCATAGAAGAACGAAAAGCATGCATCGAGATTTGAACTTACGTTATCACCGAATAAGATGAAGCCGTTTTGGCAAGAGTAAGTGGCAGTGGAACCGGCTCTCTTTCCAGTAATTGACACCAGTCCACCGTTGATCTGCGGCGGTTCTGGGCACCAGTCAACTGGAAAAGTAATAAAACGATATTCTAAATTGCGAGCATAGCTTGGAGTAACGCCAGCGTGAAAATTAATCCCGTACACAAGCACTGAGGTTGATGTCCACTCCAAATACCGCCGTCGCCGCACCTGCGTCTGGCATCACCGAGCAATGTGTAATTCTCTTTGCAAGCGTAATCGGCGTGTGCTCCGTAGGTCGTTCGCTGGTCGATCAACGTGATCGAGCCGTTGTCCAGTTCGGGAAGCTGGCCGCAGTCCACAACTGCGATCATTTGAAACAGTATTATTATTATTCTGTATTTTAAAAGATGAACTCTAGGAAATTCTAAGAATTTCATTTAATTCTTATATACTTGGCTGTCGATATATCAAGCATTTTTATGTGATTGATTGGCGCAATGGTAATTGCAATCTTTAATGCTCTTACATCGTTTCTTAACAGATTATGAAATTGTCGATTATTATGCGAATCGAGCCTGAGCTTACATTTGCATGTGGGTGGCTCGCCGCTCCAAAATCCAGTCGTTTCGCACTTTCTGGTTTTCGAGCCGATCAACATGTACCCATTGGGGCAAATGTAATCTATAGCAGATCCTATGGATCGTTTAGTCCCTTTAATCGTGGTGTTTTCTGATTTCTCTGGACTGCCGCAAGTCGGTGGTCCTGTTCGAACGAACAGAGTTAGAATGAGGAAACGTTTGAATGAAATTACGCAAACGCGTATCGATTGATCTACTCACTGCTTTGGCATATCCAATGCAAATAGTCAAGGTTGCAACCAACGTCATTCCATAGCCAACCGCGGCCTCCGTCGAGCACTACGCAGTTCTGTTCGCCGTTATAATTGTTCGGCTGATCCTTTCCCCAGGACGGTTTCTGTACGATCTCGCCTAAAAATAGAAATAAAAACGATTCGCACTTCCTTCTGGTCGGACCCAGACGCAACAAACGATTAACGGGGATTATAGGTTCGAACAGACGTTCGCGGGTGTAATTTCCCGTTGATTTCCACACTGGCAACTTTCACGTTCTATTCATTAGCGCGCGCCGTTGCGCCGACAGTCTATCGCCCCGATCTTCGATTTCCACGATTCTAATTTACAAGACGACGAATTTAAACGGATTACAATTATCGTCTAATTGCGGGACGAATCGAACCGGCTCGGTTCGATGAATTTAGAAATGATTGCCTAACTGTGCCTCATCGACCCGGTTCCCATGAGTCATTCCGATAAATCGTGAGAAGGGAAAAAAGTGAACGGGATCTGATTTATCCTTTGAATCAATTTTTCCGGGATCAAATTTCATATCCGAGTTCGCGATTGTAATAAGTACTAAGAAATTACATGAAGTACATTTTTAAAATTGATGTGATAAATTTTATTCGTACTTACCGTTGACCCATCGCCACGTGCGCGCGGTTATCAGAGGTTCTTTCTGTGCACCTATCCATACCAGCTGCGTCTTCAGTTTGTCCTTCCGCCTTTCGAGATTGTTCAGAATGTACACGGGAGCTGCATCCTGTGCAAGCAAGGATCATCGTAAAATATTTGACGAACATTCGACTGATCAGCCTAATTTTACGAGTGTTTAAATGAGAGACCTCGAAGCCGTGGACGAGATCGCCGCCTCTCGTCCGGCAATAATTTCTAGCCTCTTGGAAGGAGCCACCCTTCTTCACAACGAACTCGTAACAGGTGGAATTGAACGCAGCCAAATCGGCGTCAGCCGGTGTTCCACTGTAGGCGCATCTGTCCGTTGAGAACTCTATACAAAAATCAACGAGAACCGTCTTGCAGAAATTTTTAGTAATACCGAAATATAGCTCACAATTTTAAGGATGTATTGGCTATACAGTAAATCCCAAAAGTTTATGTACCTTAGAAAAACACATTTCCTATAATTAAAAAGAAATCAGACGTCGGAAGAATAATGCTAATAATAAATAGCTACGTGCTAAAAAGTATAGAAGGAAATATCCAATTAAGTATTGACGCTTTAGATACTGACGAAACTTTTTTTTCTCAGAATATCGAAAATTTTTAATGAAAAACAGTGTACTTCTCTTCTAATTTCAATATTTAATGAGTTACATAC